CCATTTTAGATCAATATTTCAAGGAACAAAATACGTGGAATACATGTTTCTGCTTTGAAAAGGCGCATTACGAGTGAAACTTGAAAAATTAGCTTAATGTTCATTTTCAAGTTATTAATATGTTCTTAGATTTTATTTTGGGTTTTTGCAAGTTGTGAGCCACTTATCAACAAAGAAAAGGCTTGATGCATCTCACTTTGCAGTTAAAGAGTCCACCAGAGTTTCCCATTGTAAGTTGTATTAAAGATGTGAATGCTCTTTTCAACTAAAATCTAAATGTCCCATTTTTATCTGTATGTATACCCTAATGGAGCTATCTGTAAGATGGTAATTCAAAAAACGAAGAGACTGATGGTGGGGTAATGTAAGTTACATTAGCGATATCAAAGTTAGTTAGTTAGTGCGTGCGTGCGTGCATGTGCGTGTGTGTGTGCCTGTGTGCAAGCCTATTTTGTGTAACTGTATGCTGGGCCAGATAAGGCTGTTGATAGATCCACGGCACCCAGAAGGTTATAGGGGAAGTTCTTAGGTCCATACAGGAAGCTTGTAAACCGAGCCAGTTCACAAAACAGGAAGGGAGTGATGGATTGACTCGAAGAAAAGTTTGATCACACATGCACACGGCCGAGTCACTGGAAAGACATTTTTTTAAGATGTAGCAATACAGGAAACAGCCCAGCCTGGAGTGATATAAGGTTACAGGGTCAAAACAAAGGCATCAAGTCTGGGATTACATCAGGATTTATGGATGGAGGAGATACCAACAGAGGAAGTCATGGACATGGCTGATTCTCAAACTTTCTCACCCACTCCCACAAGTTGTTACTTGTGAAAATAATCCAATATAGTCCAATCTCTGCATTACAGAGATTAACAAGGCATTCTAGGGGCAAAAACCGACTATCCGAGCCAAACGAATACCAAAGTATTCCCTAAGACTGTTTACCAGTGCATAAAACTGGGGTACCTAACTTTTCAATGCACAACATTATTTGCTATGTGTATATCTAACTAGTTTCTCACTCATGTGGAAACGAGTGATTGGTTCAATCACTCGTTTCCACATGCGGCCTAATGTTTCATCTTTAGATCAGTTATTTTCAGACACAAAAGTGAAAGAAAAAGGGCCACCCTCACTTATCCAATCAGTTCTCAGCCAAAAGCATCAAATAGTAACTCAGGGATCTTTCTCATCCATCATCAATTATCAAATAATGTTTTGTAAATTATGGCAAACCTTTCTTCAAAAATGTAGCTGTATAAAAGTATTATTTATATTCAAAACCGATAAATCTAACAGAGAAAGTAAAAAATTTAAATTCTTTTTTTTACTGCCATGACCTATGACACATTTTTATTTGTTTTATTTGGGGTTTTTAGAAGCTGTGAGCCATAAATAAAATAATCACATAGAACAAAATAAAGGCTTGATTTATCGCACTTTGTGTGTAATGAGTCCATCAAATATTAGTTTCATATTGTAAGTTGAATTACAATACAATACACAATACAAGTCCGACCCCCTGATGGGTGGAGTTGTTACTCTGCATTTGCTTGTCTGGGTGGTCTCCGGGTCACGACTTGTGGAGATCCAGCAGAGACAGGTGCTGCCACACTTCCTTATCTTTGTTGCATCTGCTGCAAGTCATCCTGACTGTGAGACCGGAAATGTTCACACTTTGATGCCTTCTCACATATATGCAATAAATTTCTGGCTTTAAGATTTGTTTTGAGGATGTTGTAGTCTAATAATAATCTGAAATTGGTTTTATTGATATCATGAATGAGATCATTAGGTCGCTAATGTGCCAATAACAAGTTATTTTTATTTCCCACTAATTTCCTACTCCCAATAAATATGTCAGTTTTATATTAACAGTATTTTACAAAGAACAGGAAAAATAATATTATACAGTTAAAATGATATTTCTAATCTAAGCACAAATTCACATTTCTTTTCAATATTCAATGTCTCGAATGTTGTCAACATTCAATGTTAAGACTAGGTTTAGTTTGTTTCACATTTTACAGCATAGCCTATACAGCGCATCTCCAACCAGGAAGTAAAATTTAAAAATAAATGCTCAAAAGAAAAAGCATGACATTAAAGAAAATCTTAAATATACCCTTGAAATATAAACTTGAAATAAGATAGTATAATAGGCCTTTATATTTATTGCACACAACTACTAATATTACCAGTACTGATACCAGTTCCAAGACATTTGTGTCTAGTTTGAAGTAATCTAATCTAATCTAATTACGTAAATATATATTTTTTATATATGTAGCAAAAACATCTAATACTACAATCTCTCCACAAACTATAGAAGATCAATAACCACAGTCATCAGTAGAAATTGACTTATATCATTGATTTGTCTCTGTTGCGTTACCAGTGCCCCTAACAGTGCCTTGAGGCGGGACACTGATGTGGAGCTGTGGGAATATAGTCTGTGAAGATTTTTAACTGTAGCCAGAGTTCATAGGCCACACTCGCGTCACGTCGCCTCCATGTAAAAATAGTTGCACAAAAGCTCGACTCTATTTCTTTTCCTACCACAGCTGCATATGGTTCAAAAATAGTTTTTGGCCCTTAATGACAATCGGCTTGCATTTGTTTCGTTTGCAGTTGCTGACTTTGTATTGTAAAAAATCAACACGCCACAGTGGGCTAGTCCTCAGAAAACGCCCATGCCACATTAATAAGTGCAGCAGATGAGCAGGGGTGAGTGTGACCGAGTGAAGACATGCCTGGACACTCAGCTGCTCCATTCAGCAGCCTGGTCCTGTAGATAAGGCACAGTGTGTGGCAGCACACCTTTCATTACACCAGTAGAACTTCTGACAATATGTGCAACTACTGCTGCAAATACCGTATGCATGTGTGTAGGCAACATCAGAAGTAACGCAAGTTAATGTAAATCTGATACATGGGCTATGGGGAATATTTTGTTTTCCCCATAATGTACCTTTATGATTGCTCCAAAGATACATTATGGAAAGGGTTATAATTTAACTTAAGATGGTCAAAAATGTTGCATTGCTCTCTCCAGAGCTGAGTTATGTGTTCTGCTGTGAACAAATGTATTATTATGTAGTAGTCTGTCCACCACCAACAGCCTGAGGCCAAACAGGAAGTCTTCCCTTCCCTCACAAAGACAGCAGCATGAAACCTTTCAAAGTAGGTTACGTTAGCGAAACGTATTCCTCTGATGAATCTAGCAATAGTTTGTTTATCTAGACTGGACACATTTCTATTATTTAATTTATTGACTAAAGAGAGACTAAAGAAAAACATTACACCACCATTGCTTCTATGTGGTATTATAAATCAGTTTGTAAAGTCCTTAGTCAGGAGTATTACAGTCCCAGTGAGTGGCTCTGTTGCATCAGCCAGTGGAAAAATGTTTCTAACATGCAAAGCAGCAGAGTGTTCGGGCCAGGGGCGTCTTTAAGAGCCCGCAGACAATGTGGCTTCAACATGTGGTTTAGATCTGATCACGTGTAGCGGCGAGGCCAGTTCAATGATCATTCACTGCACTGAAGCAGATCAAACTCTCGACCCTGGTTTCAGTCCAGTCCTTTCTCGTGGGACCACAGTTCTCAAAGCCAACAAACAATGGCACTGTATTCATTCCTCTTTTCAAACATTGGTGAGAATCCCAAACAGGTTTAGTGTTGATTTGCATAGTATGAAGACTTATGTGGTGACTGACATCGGGAAACTAATTTATCTTGTTTGTGTTTCTGAATTAACAACCACACTTCTGGACTTGACAGATGTGAAGATAACACTGACAGACCTAAACATGTGTTTTATGTGAAAGCTTTGAAGAAGAGCTCAATGCACTAATAAACAGGTTCATAACATTGTGCTGAACCGGCTGGCGAGAATTGACTGCTTTGAAAAATGTTGGTATAAGAAGAAACACAAAAATACATAGAATCACAAAGTCATATAAGGTTTTTAGTGAAACTCAAAAATGTATAGAATGCCTCAGACGGTGCTAGACGACTGCTGTGAACAAGTGATGATTATGCAGATTTAGATAATGCAGCCTGCAAACTTCTGCAATTGTTAAAAGTTATTTAGTGAAATCACTGTGAACAGGTGATTAGATGTACTATGTCTTTCCTATTATAAGGTTACGGTTAAGGTACTTAATTGTCCTCTGCATTTGACCAATCCCTCAATGCCACTAGGGCAACATGTCAGGAGCTATGGTTGCTACAATGCAACGGGGCGCCCAGAGTAAACCCACCCAGACACAGGGAGAAACATGCCAACTCCACACTGAAGCAGAGGCCCGACAAGAGATCAAACCAACTAGAATTATAGATAGATTACTAGAATAAACTGTACATTTATAACTGTACGTTGGCTGTTGTATTGTGGCACTCCTTTTAACTTTGACTACAGTATTTATGTTATACTCAAATTTAATTTAATTAGATTTGCACTAAAATACAACTCAGCTTAAGTGCTGACTCAGTAGTGACCTTCCACCTAAGAGACAAACCTCTTATTCCCTGTGAACAGCTGGCTAATCCTCCGCCGTGATCCCACAGAGAAGCTGCTCGGTGCATACCAGGCGTAAATGTGTGGTGTGTGTTAGAAAGTGGCATGTCACAATCTTGACCTGGTGCGACTGGCGACAACTAATGGCTCCCCAACATGTGTCTCTGTGACCACTGGTTAACAACACGTTCACTTTTTGAGCAGGTGACACCTAAGAATACTGAGCTACATACCGCAGAGAGGAGAATATTGTGATGACATGACGCATTTTAGCACCTACAAGCGAGTGAGGGAGGGCCTTGTTCAATTATGTCCCAGTGAACTACTCTTCCCACTGTTCCCGAGGGCCTTAAGACGCTCTAGATACAACCACAACTCAGTCTTTTACTAAACTTTCTTCATTGTCTCGTGCCTGTTATTCCTGTCCTTTCTCCGAAAAGCTAGCATAGATAATGCACTTGGTCATTCTTGTTGGAGATTAGGCCGAGGGGAATATTGTGTTAGGGATAGAGGAGGGCTGAATGAGAGCGGGGAGCCAGGCTAAAGCCAGAGGCACGCAGTGGCACCCAGAGGCGCGGCTGGGACAGTCACTGGGCTGATCGGTCCTGACACTGTTGTGGGAGAACTGCTGGGCTGTAAGAGGATAATGGAGGCAAAGAGATGTTCACACGGGCCGAGCACTTTCAGTCACTCTTTGTAGCTGTGTAAATGTTAATGGACCATAGAGGATTCTGTAACCCAAAAATGTTACTCCTGTTGTCAATGCATCATATACTACTATTGGAGCATGAGGCGATGGTCATTTTCTGTAATTTGTAGGCTACCTGTAGACACTTTTCAGTTGAAAAAAAATGTTGGAAATGTCACAATAAGAGTGGACAAATAATATTTGTGTGATAAAAATAATTTATCACACAAATATTATTCCATAACAGATTATAAAAACAAAGGATCTATTCTATTGTGTTGTAAATGTTGGCTTGAGACTAAATACTTCTGTGCAAGACATAACTTTGTGGAATTCAGAGTTTGCTGCTCTGTGACTTAACAGATGCTCTCTCGGAGCCAGAGAGTGAAGACAGTTCATGTTGGAAAAAGTTCCGCACCAGTTGGTGACCTCCAAGACCTTCACAGGGGCTTCACCTTGGTCATGTGCAATAATTAAGCAAAAATAAATCTGAATGAGTCGTGTGTTTGGATGAATATATTCACAGTGATGGTTGGCCGGTGATGAAGGAAACAAGGTCAGGAGGGGTGCCTGATGTTTACACACAACACAATGTGGTACTACGATGATTCTCATTTGTGGACTCTCATGCAAGACGAGTTTTAACCTCACATTAAACAGTTAACAAAACCAAGATGTGAACAAACAAGTCGGACAGCTGCTCACACAATGAGGAACATTTCTCTTGTCTAGTGTTTCATCAGCTCATAATATGCTTTGAAAACATGGCTCTGACCTGAGTCAGAGACACATGGAGCCTCTATAGACCTGAAGATAGTTTCACTACAGAGTTTCACTGCAGGTGTACACTCCTCTGAGGAGTTTGCTTTCTATTATAAAGATGCAATGACCCATGATACAGACATAATCACAACATAAGATACATTAGGCAATGTAATATGGTTGATGACTAATAGTAAGTAGAAGATGCGGAACATACACTTTTGTGATCTTAGGATAAATCAGTTAAGACAATATACATTAAGTATGGAGTTATACTTAATATTCACATCTCTTGTGTTTTGTGCTCCTCATTATTACTGTTGTGTAGCTTGTCCCATTGTGGGACAAATAAAGGATCTTCTAATCTGAATCAATAAGATAAGATAAGATAGACTTTATTGATCTCACACTGGAGAAATTTCTCTATTCAATTCTATGAATGTTACACTCTTCAGGGGTCTCATGTAATACAATCTATGTTGGTGTAGTAAAGAAAATAGAGATCTTGTCCCATCAAATGTTTACATTGTGTAGAATAAAATATATGCACTGTGTGGTGAGAGAACAGCCCTTATTGTTGATGATAGAACAGACAATACCTACTAAATCTTCACAGGTGTCTCATAATTGAGAAATTAAAGCTTGTGATTTGTGAAATGTTAAGTTGCTCATTTTTTCTCCTCAAAAGTCTTAATCCTGTTTAGGGGCATTTCCATGACAGGAGAGTTGTGAGTCTCTGAGGAGTGTGCCAGATGCCCTTCTTTTCAGAGGCCCTCGTATTCAAATCACAGCAGCTGGGAAGTGCAATTGTAGGAGGTGAAGTAATGGCCCAAGTCAGTGGAGTTTTTCAAGTTGGGGTGGGGGATATAATGAGAGGCACACGGCTATTTGGGAGGACTCTTGTGTGATAGCCGCAAACTGGGCTTGTGGCGTCTTTCAGGCCTGATGCTGTGATGCCGAACACTGAATAAAAGCAGTGAGCCTGAGTGGGCGGGGTGGTATGTGGCTGGAGCGACAGCAGGTTGTCTGCCCACAGGCTCTGCTGCAGCAGGGGCCGTGGTAGGGAGGCACACATGTCACTTGTGAGTCTGACATTATTCTCTTTGTCTCAGCGTGAATAATGTATTCTGCCCACATTCACTGCCAAGATGTGATTTTCTACAGTATGCTTCAACATATGCTGACCCTGGCATTTCAAATGGACGTGTGATGTTAGAGGGCTTTGGCTTTCTAAATGAAAGTAAAAGAAGAAGAGGAATGAATCAGCATCATCACTATTGACATGATACAAACTAAAATGTGATTAATTTAATTCAAGGCACGAAGTTAATACATTAAATAGATAAATGATCAAATTTGTATATTACATACAATATTTTTTATATTTGTCCACATAAAAAAATACTGTTGATTGTAAAGGATTACCTTCTTCTAAATTCAATATACACATTATGTGTCGCAGGATTTTTGAGTGATATGACATGATATGACATGTGATAATTTGCTCAAGACCTGATGAGGAAGACACACATACAATACATAAATAGTCATAGACTATTAGCAGGCATATAATAATAGCCTCAAATCCCATCCCATCATACATATGACCTACAGATTGAGCAAAGAGCAGAAAGGATTACATTACAATGAAACTTTATTTTGCATAGTTTAATAAAACATATATTGTGGTTATTTATACACATGTATATTGTTTCGAACATTAAACGTGTTCGGACCATAGACTGTTCAGACACAGCGCACTAATAATACAACCACATAAAGATAATTAAAAGACACACATCTGCTGTGCAGTTGTTATAGGTTTGATTTGTTTAAAACATAGACGGTTCAGAGACGGTTTAGAGTCCATGGTTGAAACCCATGGATCTATTATAATATCGTTTAAATCTAAGTCTATTGGTTAAAAAAAAAAAATGTATGGTCCAAGTGCGCCACCGCGTGTCACTATTTAAGCATTGCAATTTCACTCTCAATTATAACGTCACTTATCGCTATTTTATTATTCCATTGTTGTCTAGAAAGGGGAATATTGCGCACTTATTTTGGATGCTCTAAGAATTATTGCCTACATTTTATTTGCAATCGATTAGTTTTTTTCTTGACTATAGCTCCGCCTTGAGGCAAGAGGGCTACTCACACGCACACACACTGAGGCTAGCTATTAGCTTAGCGTTAGCATTACCATTTTTGTGAATTGTTTCGACACAAAGTCGAAAAATATGGATCGCCTGGGACCATATGGAAGTGAGTGCATGTCTTACAGAAAAGTAAAGTCGTTATAAACTTAGCTTAGACAAATAATGTGGAGGTACGAACTAACAGCAGAAGTTAGCATCGTGTGCTAAGTGTTTATGTTATGTTATCATGTTCATGTTACAATATTTCATTTTTGAGACGTCGTTTTCCCGTGGCAACACTTTCTTTTAGTCACAAAAGGATTTTTAATGTTTCAGATGATCCGTTTGATAAACCACCGTGTAAAGGCTGTTCATCTTACCTCACTGAACCCTACATCAAGTGTGCAGAGTGTGGCCCATCTCCTTTTCTCCTCTGTCTCCAGGTACACCCTTTTTTTCTTTTTCAGATTCAATGCTGTTTAACTAATTTCCAACATTGTGTGTGTTCGTAGTGTTTCACTCGAGGGTTTGAAAACAAGAAACACCAGAGTGATCACAAATATGAAATTATGGTATGTTGTTTTAATTTAATTGCTTTTCAATGTATGGACCTTACCTAACAACCATTTTGGGGAATGCATTTTTCTTAATTTCCCAAACTCATGGCTTCGGGCCCTCTATTATTTTACCATAAACCTACTCAGTCATGCCACATTAAATTGTATGTTCTTCTTATAATCGGCCTTATGACTTAATAATTGTGCCAACCCTGAGCTCATTTAAGAGTTAACGAAAGCCTCACTTGTTTAGACCCTAGACAATTTGTTTTGTAAAGTGTATTGCGTAGTTAAAATGACTTCTCTTTCAGACCTCAGACTTCCCAGTGCTTGAGCCTGGGTGGACAGCTCAAGAAGAAATGTCTCTTTTAGAAGCAGTAATGGATTGTGGATTTGGAAACTGGTAGGCATGTAACAAATATGAGTAACTATTTGCAGCACAATTGCATCACAGTACATAACATAAACTGTCTTTCTATTTGCATTTCTTTACGATGTAATTATCACTCCACAGGCAGGATGTAGCATATCAAATGCGTACCAAGACCAAAGAAGAATGTGAACATCACTACATGAAAAATTTCATCAATAATCCTCTGTTCTCCTCTACCTTACTTGGCCTCCAAAAAACAAAAGACTCACACTTTTCAGATACAGCAATTCCATTTAAACGTGAGTCTCTTACACAAAGATGTATGTAAAAAAATTATTTGTGACATATGTCTTTTCCTGGAGGCATATTTTGTATGAATTTGTGTAGTGCAAAAATATTGCATTTACGGTAGAATAATGTTATTGTATGAAATGTAAATTGTAATTTGCTCATCATGTTTTCATTTTTGTAGCCTCCGATGACCCACCTCGTCCCACCTTTGATTCAGTGTTGTCTCGAGATATGGCTGGTTACATGCCTGCAAGAGCTGATTTCATGGAGGTGAGGGTTCGATACCTATAATCTATATAAAATACATGATCTTCTGTCTACAATAAGTAAACATTAGATATTTTTTCTCTAGGAGTTTGACAACTATGCTGAATGGGATTTGAAGGACATAGATTTTGTGGATGATGACTCTGATGTCTTGCGTGGTGAGCTTAATTTTTTTTTTTATGTTAAAATGGCCAAACTAAGGGTTGGCATTATAGGTACCAGTAATCGGATAGTTATCAGAATGTATGTTTTCAGCACTAAAGATGTCTGTTGTTGATATCTATCATTCAAGATTAAGAGAGAGGCAACGAAGGAAAAAGTAAGTGGCTTTTGGTTAATTTTAAGAAGGAGGTTGATATTTTTTGTGCTACCTGTAATGAGCCCCATTCATCACTAGATGGCGCATTTTGTACACCATTATGTCACTCTATTTCCAGATTATGCATTCTGTAAGTTTTATGAGTTTGCAATATTTCTTCTTGGGCATACTTTTTAATTTGCATATCTTGTTGCTGCCGTGAGTTGTTTGTAACACCTGCCCTGAATGCATTGCAGTCTATCAGACTGTAATGAATCCTTCTCTGAATCAGCCTTAACGACTGTGTACTCTCCAAGTATGGAGGAATGGTATGTCAGGATGGGCAGGCATGTTTTTAGCTCTGGCTATCAATAAATCTTGCAGAGTGTATGACACGAGATCTTCATAGGTCTGGCTCTGAGAAATTTGGTTATTGAATTTCTGAAATAATTCATATTAGGTTAATGTCTACAATAATTAACATACAATTGCATATATACTGTACCTACGAATAAAGAACAAATTGACAATATTTTATTGTAAATTTTGATTTCTTTCAGGATTATCCGAGATCATGGTCTCATCAACTTGCGTAAATATCAGAGTGAGTAATTTTGCAATGTACACTTTGACTGTGACGTCCCCAAAACCTGTGGCGGAATCTGATATCCACCAGACAAATAGTGGAAGGCAGTTTGTCTGGACACATGCAAACAGTATAGGGTATTAGCCAGCGCTAACCCCAAGGACCCCCTGAGGTGGCCAGAGTGTGGCAGCTGACAGAAGTGTGTATTTATGATCAGTCTTTGAATATAGTCAATAGGATGTGCCATGACTTGTTTTATTTATTTGTTTTTCTAAATCGAACAGTGCACATGCTTCCATGTCCAATTTCTGTAAATAAACAAACAGCAACAATTATAAGAAGCCACATACATGCTTAGAAAGCCAGTGTTAGTTAAAGCAGTAACACAAAAAGAAAACTCCTGTTGTGGAAATAGAATTACTGATCCTTGCACATGTAAGGAAAGATCACAGATAGCAACACTCTTTTTTTCTTTCTTTTTTTTTTTTTTTCTTGAGATGTTTTACATTGTCAAAAGCTTTTCCTGATATGAAGATGAATCGGTTCGGTAACACGCTATCCAAGTTCAATGTAATGTTCTTCAGGATAATGTAAAATAGGATCTCTTTTGAATGATTTTTTTCTGTAAGCCAAACTGAAAAGTACTGCTGTGGTATAAACCATAGTATGAGACAGGGGTAGGTTTCTTTGACTGTTTCACCTGCCTCAGGGTTTAGGCTTTAACACTAAGACAAAGAGCGCTGTCGTGGAAACAATTCTAAATGTTGTCTGCTGCCACCAAATACTGACCAACGCAATTCTGTGAGAAGAAGAGTCCTCATGTTTTATTTATGTATCCTCCCTTTCCTTCTCCTTATCTCTTCGGTCTTTCAAGACAAAAGCGGACTCTCAGTCGCCACTGAGCTGCAGGCCGGTTGTCATGGAGACTGTCAAAGATTGTGTGTGTGTGTGTCATACATTCCTACAGCCTCGAGGTGCGCAGTATCATGTCTCCGTTGTAGCTGGAGGCACAGTGGCTCCTGTTGTGGCCACAGTTCTGTAGTGTGAGGCTCAGTTCTGAAGCAGCTTGTTGCATGAAATGAGTGCAACCTCTGCTCATGATAAACTAGACTTGTTTTGTGTTTGTTTTTGGTCACATAACATGAGTGTGCACTATCCATCTCTTTGTATCCACTCCTTTCACAATTTCATATAATTTGCAACTGCTAATTAGTGCCTGTATTTAAAAGCAGTAATGGAAAAGATTTGATTTTAGCACCGGCAACATACAGCTACTCCTGTCACACCCACTCAACAGCTTTCTCTCCTCTTTGATACTCGTCTGTTTTTCAGCAACATGCAGATATTTTGATGAACAAAACTCTACCTTTTGTATTCTGGCTCATATATAATGTTAGTAATGTAAGTACTAAATGAGCACATGCTTTGAGTGAAATTTTTAATGTTCTCCTAATCCAATAATCCAATAATGGAATGGATTCATGTCCAGTGTTACACCACTCTGACAACTTGATGTGGAAAATTAGCTCTTTAATGTCTCCGGAGAACACAACGGGTAAAACAGCATAAAGCTGATCAAAATAACAAGTCCTTACGTATCACAGCTTTATTTTAAACTTCACTGTTATATACCAGGGGCCGCGCGCGCTACCTGGGATCTCACGCGCTCCCTGTTAACTGATATATTTCAACACAGTACCGTTACATTAACTGTTTGTAAGTGTTTAAACAAGGAATTTTTTTTTCTACGATATTAAAGAAAAGTTTACACTACACTAGCATATGACTGAAATATGTAGAAATCATTAGAGATTTCAAGTTTGTACTGCTTTTCCAAAACCATTTTTATTGTAATACTTTTAGTTTAGTTTTAGTTCATGCAATTAATGTGTGGCCGTACATGTTGGAAGGCCATTGGGAACACCAGGGGCCACAGTGCTAAAGCCTCACTCACTGCTGAGTACGAGTCTGGGTGTACGTGAATGATTGGTGGTGGTTAAAAACTCACAATAACTTTATCATTAATTTACCACTATGTACCGAGTGAATAATGTGATGTGAAGCGTCTTTGAATGTCCAAAAAAAGCGCCATATAAAAATGTTTTGAATAAATCTTAAATTTATAATGAAGGTACAGACTTATAGCAATAACTATGGATAGATGGATGGAGCTGTCAAATGGGCTGAGAAGAAGCAGATTAATGATGATTTTTGCATTGAACACTAATGAGCATTCTGTTCAAGTGCCTCACATTTGTCAATAGCAGAATGTAACCACAAACAGCTCTAAAAGCACAAAACATCTTTGTCAAATCTCAAACTAACAGCATCATGAGGTTTCAAAGAAAGTGTATTTTCTTTTCATACTTATAGTTGTGTGTTGCTGCTGCCCACTCACCTCTGCTGTTTGTTTTTAGTATTGGAACGTTGCTACCCAAAAGAAGTGCAGGAGATGTATGATGTGATGAAACGCTTTGCTCGAGTGGTGGGACCGACTGAACATGATAAATTCATTGAAAGTAATGCTTGTAAGTGTCTCTGCTGTGATTTTTGATTTTGTTTTTTTTGTTTCCTGAATGAGAATTAGTTTTGTAAGTTAATGTTTCTTATTTCTTTGTCTTGTGTTTCAGTAGAGTTTGAGTTGAGGAAAGAGATCCACCGGCTTCAGGAGTACAGGAGAGAAGGAATCAAGTCTTTTTGTAGTAAGCGTTAAATGTTTTTTGCTGTAGTTATTATTCTAGCATTTGTATACTACATATATACACTGCTCACAAAAACTTAGGGCACACTCAAAAAATAAAATGTAACTCCAAGTCAGTCAAATTTCTGGGATATCAGACTGTCCAGTTAGGAAGCCACACTTATTGTGAATCAATTTCACCTAGTGTTGTGGAAATTTAACAGACATCAGGTGGAAATGAGAGGCAATCAGCAAGATCACTCCAAAATAGGAATGGTTTTTGCATTACCATTTCCCTGTCTTCATCCTTTGTACCATATTTTTGGAACACTTTTGCATTTGTCCAGTGTTCTCACCACTAGAGGTATCATGAGGAGGCATCTACAACCCACAGAAGTTGCTCAGAGAGTGATGCTCATCCAAAATGGCATGTCCATTCATGCTGTGGCAAGAAGGTTTGCTGGGTCTCCGAGCGCAATGTCCAGAGCATGCAGGAGATACCAGGAGACAGGCCAGTACACCAGGAGACCTGGGGGGGGGCCAACCGAGGTCAACAACCCAGCAGCAGGACCGCTATCTGCTCATTTGTGCACAAAGAAACCGGAGAAGCACTACCCGAGCCCTACAAAATGACCTCCAGAGGTCCACGAATGTGCATGTTGGTACTCAAATGGTCAGAAACTGACTCCAAAAGGGTGGTATTAGGGCCCGACGTCCACAAGTTGGGCTGGTGCTTACTGCCCAACACCGTGCAGCCCGATTGGCAGATTGTCCAATGGTGCCCTATGCTCTTAACGGATGAGAGCAGGTTTACCCTGAGCACATGTGAGAACGTTCTGCTGCTTGCAACATCATCCAGCATGACCGGTTTGGTGGTGGGTCAGTGATGGTCTGGGCAGGCATTTCATTGGAGGGCTGCACAGCCCTCCATGGGCTAGCCAGAGGTTCCCTGACTGGCATTGGGTACCGGGATGAGATCCTCAGACCTATTGTAAGACCATATGCGGGTGCTGTGGGCCCTGGGTTCCTTCTGATGCATGATGATGCCAGGCCACATGTGACAAGAATGGGTCAGCAGTACCTGCATGATGAAGGTATTGATGTTTTGGACTGGCCTGCCCGTTCCCCAGACTTAAATCCAATAGAGCACATCTGGGACATCATGTCTCGGTCCATCCATCAACGCCACGTTGCACCACAGACTGTCCAGGAGCTGACTGATGCTCTAATCCAGGTCTGGGAGGAGATCCCTCTGGAGGACCTCCGTGGTCTCATCAGGAGCATGCCCAGGCGTTGTAGGGAGTGCATTCAGGCACGTGGAGGCCACACACTCTACTGGTGATGATAAAGACTCATTTTGAGGAATTTCTACAGAATTTGGATCAACCAGTTACCTCATTTGTCCCTTTGATTTTGACTATAATTTTAGATTCAGACCTCCAGGGGCTGAGAATTTGATTTCCATTTATCATTCTTATGTTATTTTGTTCTCAACACACAATGAATAAAGATTTTCATCCAAAAAATCGAATTGATTGACATCTAGGATGTGTTTTTTGAGTGTTCCGTAAGTTTTTGTGAGCAGTGTATTTATAGTTTTCATTGGAAAATATTGCTAAATATTTACTTGAATTTCTCTCCTGTGGTCTGTCTAATAACTGAATCTCTGCTAGTCTCACTAGTGTGACGATGTGTTTGTTTGCCTATAGGTGCAAAGGTGTACGACCGAATGAAGCATGTGCGTGAGGAGGAGCGCAGGAAGAGGAGCATGCTCTCAGACGTGCTGCAGTATATCCAGGACAGCCGGGCTTGCCAGCAGTGGCTTAGCAAGCAAGCTGCAATGTGAGAGCTCAAATTCCTTGTTGTTAAGTTTGTGTGACGAGGGGCCAAGGGAAGGTGACCTGATCCTCGGGTTACCTCTGTTTCTTAGCTATTGAATGTCTATAATCGAAACTGGAATTTGAGTGTCATGAGTTGCTAAAACGACAGTAGCTCAGTGGGGCGACAGCTCAGTTGGTAGAGCATTGGCCTTTGGGCCTGAAGGTCGTGGGTTCAAGCCCACCATAAGACCTACTTCACGACTCCCACTGATGACTGCTGTCGTTGTGTCCTTGGGCAAGACACTTAACCCCACTTTGCCTGAAGCTCCCACTGAAAGTTCTCAGCTCCTGTGGACTCACCACCTGCAGGAGGATCAGTGAGGGGCTGGTGCTAAGTGAATTGGGTGCAGCTCTGACTGCCACCCCCCCGACCCAGAAATGGATTAAGGGGAAGAAAATGGATGGATGGATGGATGGAGTTGCTAAAACAAAGGTTTAAAACTATTATATGGGCTTGTTCACACTAAAGGGCACAAAAGTGTGACAAAAGGCCAAAAATTACATTTTAATAATCAGAAGATATTTTATGTTTTTCATGTTTCCAAATACTTCCTCTGTCCATTAGAAGTTGCTAGAACATAACTGTTTTATACATTAGACAAGTTTCCTATAGCGGCCCTGTTTATTTTATCTAACGGACGTGATGATTTGACGGAATGAGCTTTGTGCAAGTTTGATAGGTATTTTCAGATGTCCACATTTGATTCAGAGATTATATTTTTTTTACACAAAGTAGATGCAAAGTGATACTTTCATATTATCAAGCAATTAAATGTGAAAACAGACCAGATTTTTTTTTTTCTCAAGTTTAATTTTTAGAGAAAAGAGGACCGTCCTCATCACGTCCGTTATACATTTTTCAAGGGTAATTTAATTAATTAATTAATTTTTATTTTTTTACGATTCCTTTTTATATCAAGTGATTTCCTTCTGTTGTGGTAACCATGTAAATCTTGTGGGATTTCATCTTCTGCTTTTTCAGACTGAGGACATTTTATTTTCTATGTAACTGGCGTCACAGTAGAATGGTCCAATCAGAGGCTCATTTGGTCGTTTAAAATGTTGCTAAAATTTTTTATGTCAATCTTTCCTTTTGATTTTTTCCACACGATCTCTTCAATGTGTCTGTGTTTGAAATCTTGTTTCCAATCTATGAAAGTAATTTTAGTTTTTAAGTTATAACCTTTTAAAGTCCAGATACTTCAATTGTCACTTTACTGTGAACACACTCATATAGAAAAGCCGACATGTTGTGCAAAATCAACTTTTATGTGCATCTAGTTGTAGCCAAATGTATTTGCAGAATACTGAAACCCTTCAAATGTATCCTGGGAACATTCAGAAAACAGGATTAAACCTATTTTATAGGAACAACTTTTTTCATTTTGTTTTGCATTTTATCATAGTTAAGGGCATATGAGAAAATTATGTTTCATACACAATGACACAATGATGCAGTGACATACTGTAAGGAGCAGTACGATGACAACACTGCTTTTTATGTAGAAGTCAGCTGACTTATTTCTTTTGTTATATTATTTATCACTATTAAGATTTATAAACGTTCTAGTGATGATTTACAGGACAAATTCTAGTACTTCTCGAAAGTTTACTAGTACTCTTTGGTGATAATGTAAATTTTTATTTTCATTAGCGATGCCGGCATTACTCCACCTGTCACAATGCTCACAGTCTCGGGTAAATATACTTTTTCAAATGCCTTTCTTATCCAAGCACTACATTTTATTTATTGTTTTTGAGTTTGTTTCTTTCATGTGATGTTTTTACAGCATCAGGAAGGCGAAGTGCCCCTCCCCTGAACCTCACAGGACTACCGGGAACAGAGAAGCTCAATGAGCGAGAGAAAGAGGTACTTATCCCTTGTCTGGCTCACAGCAGCCTCATAAAACCAAAGAATGCATGAAAAACTGTACAATGTGTTGTTAGCGCTTCAGATAAGTCAACACTCAGAGCTGTTGGAAAAATGTAATACAGAATCACTTTAGGTAAAGGTCTGCTACTATTTCAGTGTCACTTTTTGTAAGAACGTTTTGTTTTGTGCTTGTAGCTGTGCCAGGTGGTGCGATTGGTGCCAGGAGCCTACCTCGAATACAAGCAAGCTCTTCTGAACGAGTGCAGACGGCAAGGAGGGCTTCGACTCGCCCAAGCCAGAGCGCTAATCAAGATCGATGTCAACAAGACACGCAAGATATATGACTTTCTCATCAAGGAGGGCTACATTACTAAAGCCTAAAGCTGTTGTGGACACCAAATGTTTGTGCATATCATTGTACTGAATCATACTGTGAGAACATTGTCGTTGATGGCTGCTCTTTTCAAATATATTAAATTTTTGTTTGTTTTGTATTATTTGTGGTGTTTTGTATTATTTGTGGTCTTTTGTTTGACATCTGGGAAATTTGTTATAACAAATATGCACTCAGGAAGCAGAGAAGAGTGCTGGTCCTCAGAAATTATTTGTTTAGAAAAAAGAACCAGGCTTTGATAAGGGCACTGTCAAAGAGAACCAACTCCTGTAATAACAGACACAAAGCTGCAATGACCTATTGATCTAACATTTACCAATGGAAGCTATTCTTTCCTGGTGTGCAGATAATGTCCTTTTAGTCCTAAACTATATCTTGAGCAAGTCATCCAAAAATGCTTTAACGCCTTGAATTAATACCTGGACCACTGTATGTGTATACAAGTGCAGCCGTTTGTTTCTATGAGAAGTTTATATCTAAAGCAGACAGAGCAAGTGTTTCAGGTTTTACCATGAATCATTCCATAGGTATTGGTTTTGAATGCAGCATCCGTTGGAGGTATATGTGTTTTTGGGAATGTTAATTTAACGTATGTATCTCCTTTATTCAGCTCTAATTTAGATCCACATTAGCTTTAATGTCCTGTCCTGGTTTAACATGGTGTGACGTTGAGGTTTGAATAGGAGGCAACTGTGTTTGAGGAGACTGTGTGGGCAACTTAAGAACACCGAGCCTTGACACCAACATCTGCTCCATCTGTTGCACAACATGGCTCCCAAGACCTGCACAGAGAGGACCAGGGCATAATGGACGGCTGGAGAGACAGGAGAGCAGCCACCACACCACATGACATTGTTGATCTACTCTGTTGTTCCACGTGATGTACATACAGTCTTCTAGACAATATAGAGTCTAGATAGACAGGTATAACAGTGTTCAGTATTTGAGCCATAGATATATGTCCCGGATTCCGTGTCCTATTACATTAATACTCTCTACAGTATATAGATGTTGAATTAACAATTCAAATACTCATTAGTATCATTTGTTTTAACAAATCAGAAAGCACATCTCCTCTTGATATACTTGTACTTCAATAGGACCATTGCTTCCTTTTGGCTTGGGTCTGCCCTCACCCCCGGTAGTCATTATTAGACTATTATGTTCTGGAGGGTGATCAGCAGTGGAGGTGAACTGAAGCCATCAACACAAGATGTTACTGTGGCAACCAGGTCTGGCAGAGAGTGAATCGCCTCCTATACAATATTATCTTCCACTTTAAACAAAAATTACTGATGAAACATGTTGTTGTACACATGTTGGGACAAATATTTGTCACGGACTTACCCACGTTGTGCTGGGTTGACCCTAATGTTTTTAAGTAAAACACTGACTTTATAAATGTTATGTATATTGTAATCATCACGTCACACACACTTCATATTCAATTTGTAAATTGACATTAACATGATTAACATGAAAGAACAAGTGACGTCGCCCGGCATGGCGCAGCTGGGGCCCCACCCTGGAGCCAGGCCTGGGGTCGGGGCCCGAAAGCGGGCGCCTGGTGGCCGGGCCTTAGCCCACGGGGCCCGGCCGGGCTCAGCCCGAAAGGACGACGTGGGCAGTCCCTCCTGTGGGCCCACCACCCGCAGAGGGGTCCGTGGCGGCTCGGTGCAGAGAGGACTGGGCAGCAGTCGAAGGCGGAGACCTCGGCGACCCAGTCCGCACACCCAACATCTAGCTCTTGGGACGTGGAACGTCACCTCACTGGGGGGGAAGGAGCCCGAGCTTGTGGGGGAGGTCGAGAGGTACCGACTAGAGATAGTCGGCCTCACCTCCACACACAGCTTGGGCTCTGGAACCCAACTCCTTGAGAGGGGTTGGACGCTCCACTTTTCTGGTGTATCTCGCGGGGAGAGGCGGCGAGCTGGGGTGGCCATACTCATTGCCCCCCCATCTCAGCCGCCACGTGTTGGAGTTCTCCCCGGTGAATGAGAGGGTCGCGTCCCTCCGCCTTCGGGTGGGGGACAAGTCTCTCACTGTTGTGACGGCCTACGGGCCTAACAGCAGTGCAGAGTACTCGGCCTTCTTGGAGTCCTTGGGAGGGGTACTGGACAGTGCACCGCCCGGGGACTCCGTCATTCTCCTGGGGGACTTTAACGCCCATGTGGGAAGCGCCAGTGACACTTGGAGAGGGGTGATCGGGAAGAACGGCCCCCCTGATCTGAACCCGAGTGGTGTTCAGTTGTTGGACTTCTGTGCTAGTCACGGTTTGTCCATTACGAACACCATGTTTGAGCACAAGGGTGTCCACCAGTGCACGTGGCACCAGGACACCCTAGGCCGGAGGTCGATGATCGACTTTGTTGTCGTATCATCTGACCTTCGGCCGCGTGTTTCGGACACTCGGGTAAAGAGAGGGGCAGAGCTGTCAACCGATCACCACCTGGTCGTGAGTTGGATCCGCTGGCAGGGGAGGAAGCCGGTCAGACCTGGCAGACCCAAGCGTGTAGTGAGGGTTTGCTGGGAACGTCTCGCTGAGACCCCTGTCAGACGGACTTTCAACTCACACCTCCGGGAGAGCTTCTCCCAGGTCCCGGCGGAGGAGGGGGATATTGAGTCTGAGTGGACCATGTTCTCTTCCTCTATCGCCGATGCGGCGGCTCGTAGCTGTGGTCGCAAGGTCTCTGGTGCTGGTCCCGGCGGCAACCCCCGAACCCGGTGGTGGACACCGGCAGTAAGGGATGCCGTCAGGCTGAAGAAGGAGTCCTATCGAGCCATGATGGTTCGGGGGACTCCTGAGGCAGCTGTCCAGTACCGGCAGGCCAAGCGTGCCGCGGCCCGGGCTGTTGCAGAGGCAAAAACCCGGGACTGGGAGGAGTTCGGAGAGTCCATGGAGCATGACTATCGGTCGGCCTCGAAGAGATTCTGGCAAACTGTCCGGCGCCTCAGGAGGGGGAAGCAGTTCTTTGCCAACACCGTGTACGGTGCGGGGGGTGAGCTGCTGACCTCGACCGGGGATATTGTCGGACGGTGGAAGGAATACTTCGAGGTTCTCCTCAATCCCCCCGTCACGTCCTCCGCTCCGGAGGCAGAGGCTGAGGATGTTGGGGCGGATACTTCTGTCACCCTGGCAGAGGTCACCAAGGTGGTTGGCAGCCTCCTTGGTGGCAAGGCGCCGGGAGTGGATGAGATCCGTCCTGACTATCTAAAGTCTCTGGATGTTGTAGGACTGTCTTGGCTGACACGTCTCTGCAACATCGCGTGGCGATCGGGGGCGGTGCCAATGGAGTGGCAGACCGGGGTGGTGGTTCCTCTCTACAAGAAGGGGGACCGGAGGGTGTGTTCCAATTATCGTGGGATCACACTCCTCAGCCTCCCTGGTAAGGTTTACTCCAAGGTACTGGAGAGGAGGTTACGGCCGATGGTCGAATCTCGGATTCAGGAGGAGCAGTGTGGTTTTCGTCCCGGCCGTGGAACACTGGACCAGCTCTACACTCTCCATCGGATACTCGAGGGTTCATGGGAGTTCGCCCAACCTGTCCACATGTGCTTTGTGGATTTGGAGAAGGCGTTCGACCGTGTTCCCCGGGGTGTCCTTTGGGGGGTCCTCCGTGAGTACGGGGTCCGGGGTCCTCTGCTGAGGGCCGTCCGGTCCCTGTATGACCGGAGCCAGAGCTGTTGGAAAAATGTAATACAGAATCACTTTAGGTAAAGGTCTGCTACTATTTCAGTGTCACTTTTTGTAAGAACGTTTTGTTTTGTGCTTGTAGCTGTGCCAGGTGGTGCGATTGGTGCCAGGAGCCTACCTCGAATACAAGCAAGCTCTTCTGAACGAGTGCAGACGGCAAGGAGGGCTTCGACTCGCCCAAGCCAGAGCGCTAATCAAGATCGATGTCAACAAGACACGCAAGATATATGACTTTCTCATCAAGGAGGGCTACATTACTAAAGCCTAAAGCTGTTGTGGACACCAAATGTTTGTGCATATCATTGTACTGAATCATACTGTGAGAACATTGTCGTTGATGGCTGCTCTTTTCAAATATATTAAATGTTTTGTTTGTTTTGTATTATTTGTGGTGTTTTGTATTATTTGTGGTCTTTTGTTTGACATCTGGGAAATTTGTTATAACAAATATGCACTCAGGAAGCAGAGAAGAGTGCTGGTCCTCAGAAATTATTTGTTTAGAAAAAAGAACCAGGCTTTGATAAGGGCACTGTCAAAGAGAACCAACTCCTGTAATAACAGACACAAAGCTGCAATGACCTATTGATCTAACATTTACCAATGGAAGCTATTCATTTCCTGGTGTGCAGATAATGTCCTTTTAGTCCTAAACTATATCTTGAGCAAGTCATCCAAAAATGCTTTAACGCCTTGAATTAATACCTGGACCACTGTATGTGTATACAAGTGCAGCCGTTTGTTTCTATGAGAAGTTTATATCTAAAGCAGACAGAGCAAGTGTTTCAGGTTTTACCATGAATCATTCCATAGGTATTGGTTTTGAATGCAGCATCCGTTGGAGGTATATGTGTTTTTGGGAATGTTAATTTAACGTATGTATCTCCTTTATTCAGCTCTAATTTAGATCCACATTAGCTTTAATGTCCTGTCCTGGTTTAACATGGTGTGACGTTGAGGTTTGAATAGGAGGCAACTGTGTTTGAGGAGACTGTGTGGGCAACTTAAGAACACCGAGCCTTGACACCAACATCTGCTCCATCTGTTGCACAACATGGCTCCCAAGACCTGCACAGAGAGGACCAGGGCATAATGGACGGCTGGAGAGACAGGAGAGCAGCCACCACACCACATGACATTGTTGATCTACTCTGTTGTTCCACGTGATGTACATACAGTCTTCTAGACAATATAGAGTCTAGATAGACAGGTATAACAGTGTTCAGTATTTGAGCCATAGATATATGTCCCGGATTCCGTGTCCTATTACATTAATACTCTCTACAGTATATAGATGTTGAATTAACAATTCAAATACTCATTAGTATCATTTGTTTTAACAAATCAGAAAGCACATCTCCTCTTGATATACTTGTACTTCAATAGGACCATTGCTTCCTTTTGGCTTGGGTCTGCCCTCACCCCCGGTAGTCATTATTAGACTATTATGTTCTGGAGGGTGATCAGCAGTGGAGGTGAACTGAAGCCATCAACACAAGATGTTACTGTGGCAACCAGGTCTGGCAGAGAGTGAATCGCCTCCTATACAATATTATCTTCCACTTTAAACAAAAATTACTGATGAAACATGTTGTTGTACACATGTTGGGACAAATATTTGTCACGGACTTACCCACGTTGTGCTGGGTTGACCCTAATGTTTTTAAGTAAAACACTGACTTTATAAATGTTATGTATATTGTAATCATCACGTCACACACTTCATATTCAATTTGTAAATTGACATTAACATGATTAACATGAAAGAACAAGTGACGTCGCCCGGCATGGCGCAGCTGGGGCCCCACCCTGGAGCCAGGCCTGGGGTCGGGGCCCGAAAGCGGGCGCCTGGTGGCCGGGCCTTAGCCCACGGGGCCCGGCCGGGCTCAGCCCGAAAGGACGACGTGGGCAGTCCCTCCTGTGGGCCCACCACCCGCAGAGGGGTCCGTGGCGGCTCGGTGCAGAGAGGACTGGGCAGCAGTCGAAGGCGGAGACCTCGGCGACCCAGTCCGCACACCCAACATCTAGCTCTTGGGACGTGGAACGTCACCTCACTGGGGGGGAAGGAGCCCGAGCTTGTGGGGGAGGTCGAGAGGTACCGACTAGAGATAGTCGGCCTCACCTCCACACACAGCTTGGGCTCTGGAACCCAACTCCTTGAGAGGGGTTGGACGCTCCACTTTTCTGGTGTATCTCGCGGGGAGAGGCGGCGAGCTGGGGTGGCCATACTCATTGCCCCCCCATCTCAGCCGCCACGTGTTGGAGTTCTCCCCGGTGAATGAGAGGGTCGCGTCCCTCCGCCTTCGGGTGGGGGACAAGTCTCTCACTGTTGTGACGGCCTACGGGCCTAACAGCAGTGCAGAGTACTCGGCCTTCTTGGAGTCCTTGGGAGGGGTACTGGACAGTGCACCGCCCGGGGACTCCGTCATTCTCCTGGGGGACTTTAACGCCCATGTGGGAAGCGCCAGTGACACTTGGAGAGGGGTGATCGGGAAGAACGGCCCCCCTGATCTGAACCCGAGTGGTGTTCAGTTGTTGGACTTCTGTGCTAGTCACGGTTTGTCCATTACGAACACCATGTTTGAGCACAAGGGTGTCCACCAGTGCACGTGGCACCAGGACACCCTAGGCCGGAGGTCGATGATCGACTTTGTTGTCGTATCATCTGACCTTCGGCCGCGTGTTTCGGACACTCGGGTAAAGAGAGGGGCAGAGCTGTCAACCGATCACCACCTGGTCGTGAGTTGGATCCGCTGGCAGGGGAGGAAGCCGGTCAGACCTGGCAGACCCAAGCGTGTAGTGAGGGTTTGCTGGGAACGTCTCGCTGAGACCCCTGTCAGACGGACTTTCAACTCACACCTCCGGGAGAGCTTCTCCCAGGTCCCGGCGGAGGAGGGGGATATTGAGTCTGAGTGGACCATGTTCTCTTCCTCTATCGCCGATGCGGCGGCTCGTAGCTGTGGTCGCAAGGTCTCTGGTGCTGGTCCCGGCGGCAACCCCCGAACCCGGTGGTGGACACCGGCAGTAAGGGATGCCGTCAGGCTGAAGAAGGAGTCCTATCGAGCCATGATGGTTCGGGGGACTCCTGAGGCAGCTGTCCAGTACCGGCAGGCCAAGCGTGCCGCGGCCCGGGCTGTTGCAGAGGCAAAAACCCGGGACTGGGAGGAGTTCGGAGAGTCCATGGAGCATGACTATCGGTCGGCCTCGAAGAGATTCTGGCAAACTGTCCGGCGCCTCAGGAGGGGGAAGCAGTTCTTTGCCAACACCGTGTACGGTGCGGGGGGTGAGCTGCTGACCTCGACCGGGGATATTGTCGGACGGTGGAAGGAATACTTCGAGGTTCTCCTCAATCCCCCCGTCACGTCCTCCGCTCCGGAGGCAGAGGCTGAGGATGTTGGGGCGGATACTTCTGTCACCCTGGCAGAGGTCACCAAGGTGGTTGGCAGCCTCCTTGGTGGCAAGGCGCCGGGAGTGGATGAGATCCGTCCTGACTATCTAAAGTCTCTGGATGTTGTAGGACTGTCTTGGCTGACACGTCTCTGCAACATCGCGTGGCGATCGGGGGCGGTGCCAATGGAGTGGCAGACCGGGGTGGTGGTTCCTCTCTACAAGAAGGGGGACCGGAGGGTGTGTTCCAATTATCGTGGGATCACACTCCTCAGCCTCCCTGGTAAGGTTTACTCCAAGGTACTGGAGAGGAGGTTACGGCCGATGGTCGAATCTCGGATTCAGGAGGAGCAGTGTGGTTTTCGTCCCGGCCGTGGAACACTGGACCAGCTCTACACTCTCCATCGGATACTCGAGGGTTCATGGGAGTTCGCCCAACCTGTCCACATGTGCTTTGTGGATTTGGAGAAGGCGTTCGACCGTGTTCCCCGGGGTGTCCTTTGGGGGGTCCTCCGTGAGTACGGGGTCCGGGGTCCTCTGCTGAGGGCCGTCCGGTCCCTGTATGACCGGAGCCAGAGCTGCGTGCGCATTGCCGGCAGTAAGTCAGACCTGTTCCCTGTGCACGTTGGCCTCCGCCAGGGCTGCCCTTTGTCACCGGTTCTGTTCACTGTATTCATGGACAGAATTTCTAGGCGCAGCCAAGGGTCGGAGGGGGTCCGGTTCGGGGACCACAGGATTTCATCTCTGCTGTTTGCAGACGATGTTGTCCTGTTGGCTCCAACGAACCAGGACCTACAACATGCACTGGGACGGTTTGCAGCCGAGTGTGAAGCGGCTGGGATGAGAATCAGCACCTCCAAATCTGAGGCCATGGTGCTCGACCGGAAAAAGGTGCCCTGCCCTCTTCAGGTGGGTGGAGAGGCCCTTCCTCAAGTGGAGGAGTTCAAGTATCTCGGGGTCTTGTTCACGAGTGAGGGAAGGATGGAGCGTGAGATTGACAGGCGGATCGGTGCAGCGTGCGCAGTGATGCGGTCGCTGTATCGGACCGTTGTGGTGAAGAGGGAGCTGAGCCGAAAGGCAAAGCTCTCAATTTACCGGTCAATCTTCGTTCCCTCCCTCACCTATGGTCATGAGCTTTGGGTAATGACCGAAAGAACAAGATCGCGGATACAAGCGGTCGAAATGAGCTTCCTCCGCAGAGTGGCTGGGCGCTCCCTTAGAGATAGGGTGAGGAGCTCAGTCACACGGGAGGAGCTCGGAGTAGAGCCGCTGCTACTCCACGTCGAGAGGAACCAGTTGAGGTGGCTCGGGCATCTGTTCCGGATGCCTCCTGGACGCCTCCCTGGGGAGGTGTTCCGGGCACGTCCCACCGGGAGGAGGCCCCGGGGAAGACCCAGGACACGCTGGAGGGACTATGTCTCTCAGCTGGCCTGGGAACGCCTTGGAGTCCCCCCGGACGAGCTGGAGGAAGTGTGTGTGGATAGGGAAGTCTGGGCGTCTCTGCTTAGACAGCTGCCCCCGCGACCCGGCAACGGATGAAGCGGAAGAAAATGGATGGATGGACATTAACATGATCATTTGACCTGGTCTATAAAGGCCACAAGGTGTTCTGGGATTCACCACTAGCCCAAATCGTCACGTCTTTGTGGTCTATGGACATTCTGTTTTTAACAAGGTTAAATGTATGTTGCCATGGTGATAATCCCTCGAGCTGTTATTTTACCTCACCGGTTCACCCTGTTGCTCACGCTCAGCTGCTGCTCAAGTCGTGACTGAGGCTTTGAATTAAAGAGATGCCCACCACTCTACCCCTCGCAAAGTAAATAAGCGAGCAGTGGAAATTGAGCAACCTAGTTTATTTCTGAGTCAAAGTAGAGGACTTTA